GAGGCATCGAAGTCTGTTCGCATATATATATATATATACATATACATGTACATAGGACCTTCATGTTCTATTTGGCATTCGGCTTGGTTGTTCTAATTCCCTGCCAAGGGCAGGACTTGGCTGATTTGATTTTGTAAATATTTTAAACACTTAATTTAAGTACCGTAATTTTTAGACAAGTTAAAACATAAATGGGCCAAGCCCGGCCCTTGGTTTTACGGAAAGTGACGAGCCCTTTATTTTTTCAAAATTCTTACAAATCGAGAACAACCGACTTAATTAACTACAAACCTCTCTTTGAACTAAAGGGTGCCCATTTAGTTTAATTTGTTCAAAATTGTAATCGTCTTAAATTGCTTTATCAAGTTTGAAAAAACTAAATGGAGGTGCCGATTTAATGTTAAACGAAGCGTCGTCCGCCTCGGCCCGGCCGCAAACAAAGAGGGCCAACGAACTGCTGGTGCCTTGAAGGCGCCGTTGGCAGAGCGGACGAGGACCGGGGAACGGACGTACAAACAAGCAGAGGCCGCGCATTGCAAAAAGAATCAAAAAATTAAATCGGGGGCCTGTTTAATTTTATCTTTTTAAAAGTTTAGACTTAAATTTAAAAAAACATATTTATTTTTTGAGTATTTTTTTAATTAATAGACTTAAGTTTTTCAATAACAATGGGGCCTATTTAATTTCTTAAGCTTGTTGAAAAGTCAACACAATTTACATGGTTCGTCACTTTTAAACGCCGGGCTTGGCTGATGTAATTGTTTGTTGTAATCTTAAGATTTTGTAAAAAAAATTGAATTGGCTCGTCACCTTTCCAAAACCAAGGGCCGGGCGTGGCTGATCCATTTCTTTTGGTTGTTTTTCAAGTTCAAGGCCCGTAAATATTAAGAAAACAAAAATTACATGGAGGCCTATTTAATTTTCTTAATTTTCTAATTTTTTAAAAAAGTCTTGAAAATTGAAATGGCTCGTCACTTTTACAAAGCCAAGGGCCGAGCTTGGCTGATTTAATTGTGTAAATGTTTTAGAACTTTTAAGGGGCTTAAACTTTCAAAAAATATTTAGACATTAAATCTGGGCCTATTTATCTTTTAAATTCCACGCTAACCTAAACCCTAGTCCAAACCTTTACCGTAACCTAAACCCCTACCCCAACCTAAGCCCTACCCTACCCGACAGACACCCTACCCTAAATCAAAAAACCTACCCTAAACCCTGACACAAACGTTAACCTCAACCCTAACTTAACTTAAACCCTAACCTAAGCCCCAGTTGAAACGCTAGCCTAAAGCCTACGACACCCTAACCTAAACTCGAACCTAAACCCTCACCTAGACCCAACCTTCAACCCAGACCTAAACTCTAACTTAAACCCTATCTAAACCTTAACCCAAACCTGAACCTAAACCTTAACCTAAACCTTAACTTACACCCCAACCTGAACCCGAACCGATACCCTAGCCCAAGCTGCAACTGAACCCGAAGCTAAACCCTGACTTAACCTAAACCCTAACCTAACCTTCGATTTGAACCCTCACCTAAACTCTGACCTAACCCCCAGCCCTAAACCCCAACCCAAACCCCAACCCAAACTCTAACCTACCACACCCTAGCCTAAACGCTAACCTAGACTCGAACCTAAGCCCTAACCTAAACCCAATCTTCAACCCAAATCTAAACCCTAACCTAATCCCTAACCTAAACCTTAGCCTAAATCCTACCCTAACCCTGACCTCACCAAAACCCTACCAGACCTGACACCAAGCCCCTTCCTTAACCCCTACCTTACCCTCAACCCGACCCTGCCCTAACCTTACCCGAACTTGAACTTGAATTTGAGCCTTAACTCAAACCTTAATTTAGACAGAAACTTAAACCCTAACCTAGACCCTCGCCTAAACCATACGTGAACCTTACCCTAAACCCCACACACCCAGCTCAAATTCCTCTAAAGACGAACTCTGCCCAACACTGAACCCAATACCTTCAACTGCCGTCCACGTCAACGCTACAGCTGTTTCCTAATTTAGATATAACCACGAACAAGTCAATCGCAGCAAATTTTGCCTAAGAATCGGTTTGCAAAATTTGCTGCGTTTGGCTGATTCCTGATTTACTGTAACCACGAACAAGTCAATCGCAGCAAATGGGTTGGCAAGATTTGCCGCGATTGGCTGTTGCATGATTTAGTGGCTGTATCTAAATCAGGAGACAGCCAATTGCAGCAAATTCTACCCACCCATTGTTAGTCCAAAGTTGCTGCGATTGACTTGTTCGTGGTTATACCTAAATCACGAACAAATTTGCCAACCGATTCTTGAGCAAAATTTGCTGCGATTGACTTGTTCGTGGTTACAGTTAGATCAGGAAACAGCCAATCTACTGGCCAAGGGGGTCCGGCACGTTCGCAAGAGGGACACGCTACTGATTGCCGGGGATTTTGTTTCCTCTAATACCAGCCTCCAATGCCTGGTGGGCACACAGCTCATCACACCAGAGGAGGCTCGGCCTGACGAACCGGAACTGACAAATCTCCTGCTGACCCACCAACTGGTGGCACTTAACACGTGGCAAGCCTCCAAGGCGCACGCCTTCAAGCAGGGCGAATCGCTCGAGCAAATAGACTTCGTTTCGACGCAGCAAATTTTGCAAACCGACTCTTGGGCAAGTTTGCTGCGATTGACTTGTTCGTGGATAACCGCAGCAAATTTTACCGACATAGTGTTAGTCAAAATTTGCTGCGATCGACTTGCTCGTGGTTATGTCTAAATCAGGAAACAGATTCTTCGGCAAAATTCCCGAACCGATACCCTACAGTAGCCTAAACTGCAACTGAACCCGAAGCTAAACCCTGACGTAACCTAATCCCTTCCTACCCTAGACCTTATTCCAACCGAAACTAACCTTTGATTTGAACCCTAACCTAAACTCTAACCTAAACCGCAGCTCAAAACCCTATATAACCTAAACCCGAACTCAAACTTTAACCTACTGCACCCTAACTTAAACCCTAACCTAAGCTCGAACCTAAACCCTAACCTAAACCCAAGCTTCAACCCAAACTTAAACCCTAACCTAATCCCTAACCCCTCACCTAAATCCTACCCTAAACCCTACCCCAGACCTGACACCAAGCCCCTTCCTTAACTTTAACTTAAACCCTTACCTTACCCTAAACCCTACCCAGCCCTAAGCCTTACCCTAACTTGAACTCGGGCAAAATTTGCTGCGATTGACTTGCTCGTGGTTATATCCTGATCAGGAAACAGCCAATCGCCGCGAATTTTGCCAACATATTGTTGGTCAAACTTGCTGCGATCGACTTGTTCGTGGGTATATCTAAATCAGGAAACAGCCAATCGCAGCAAACTTTGCCAACCGATCCTTAGGCAAAACTTGCTGCGCTTGACTTGTTCGTGGTTATAGTTAAATCAGGAAACAGCCAATCACAACAAATTTTGCCAACCGATTCTTAGGCAAAACTTGCTGCGATCGACTTGTTCGTGGTTATGTCTAAATCAGGAAACAGCCAATCGCAACAAATTTTGCCAACCGATTCTTAGGCAAAATTCCCGAACCGATACCCTAGCCTTAACTGCAACTGAACCCGAAGCTAAACCCTGACGCAACCTAAACCCTATCCTACCCTAAGCCTTATTCTAACCGAAACTAACTTTCGATTTGAACCCTAACCTAAACTCTAACCTAAAAACCCTAGCTTAAAACCCTGACCTAAACCCCTAACCTAAATCCGGACCTAAACCGTAACCTAAACCCAAGCTTCAAACCAAATCTAAACCCTAACTTAAACCTTAGCCCAAACCCTACCCTAAACCCCACCCTAATCCTGACCTCACCTAAACCCTACCCTAAACCCTACCCCAGTCTCGTTAGAGTCCTGATTTCCTTCATCGAATTCCCTTACTCAATAAGCTACAACTTAATTGGGTGATTTTCAGATCTAGGGCTTCTCCTGATTTCCCCCTTATAAACTCTTATCTATAAGGCTTTGCTTTGACTTGAGTATTCTACAGGGTGTTGGGGCTGGCCTGGGAGGCTCTCATCTGAAGCCTAACCTAAACCTTAACCTAAACCCTACCCTAAACCCTGACCTGCTCCAGAACCTGAACCAGGATCTCGAGTAGCGCGACAAGGAGCGCAACGCCACCCTCTTCCCGGCCACCTTAACCGAAACCCTACCCTGCCCGAAAACCTACCGGATAAATCCGGTCTACCCTAAAACCCTACCTTAAATCCAAAAACACTACCCTGAACCCTACCTTCAACCCTACATCAACCTAAGCCTTACTTCCCCTAACCTACACCCTACCCTAACCTAAACCCTACCCTAACCTAAACCTAGACCTAAACCCCAACCTAAGTCCCTCAAGCCCGCCAAACCCTCACATAAACCTAGCCAAAACCTTACCCGAGCTTAAAGCGTACCTAACTGAGCCCTTACCCGAACCTAAACCCATACCCCAACCTAAACCCTACCCGAAACCATGCACTAACCCCTACCCTAAATCCACAAATTCTGCCCTAAACTGCACTAACCTACACCCTACCCAAACCTTAAACCCTAACCTGTACCCTAACCTAAAGCCTAACCTAAACTCTGACCTACACGCCAGCTTAAAGCCCTAACCTAAACCCTACCCTAAAACCCTACCTTAAACCTTAACCTAAACCGCAACCTAAACCTCTAGCTAAACCCACAACATAAACCCGAACTTAAACCCTAACCTAAACCCTGGCCTAAACCCTAACCTGAACTTTAATTTCAACCTCAACCTCAACCCTAACCTCAATCCAATCCTAAACCTTACCTTAAACTACGTTAGACCTGACCTTACACCCTACCCTAAAGCCCCCTACCCTAAACTCTACTCTGAACCCTACCCTCTAAACCTCAACCGAAACCCTATCTTAAGTTGTGGGCGAAATCCTGGCCGAAACTGCAACCTAAACCCTACCCTTACCTTAAACCTTAACCGAAACCCTAATTGAACTTCAACTTAAACCCTACCCGGAACCTACACGATAAACCCTACCCTAAACCCTACCTTAAATGAAAACCCTAGCCTAAACCCTACTCTGAACCCTACCTTCAACCTACCTTGACCTGAACCCTACCCTACAGTACCTAAACACAACCCTAACCTCAACCTTAACCTTAATCCTAACCTGAAACCCATTAAACCTTTAACATAAATCCTAATACAAATCCTAACCTAAACCGTACCCCAACCTAAACCCTCCCTAACCAAAACCCTACCCTGACCCAAACCCTAATCAAAGTCCTTACCCTAACCTAGGCCCTCACACCAACCAAAACCCTACCCTACCCGAACCCTACCCCGAACCCCAGGTTGGGTTAGGGTTTAAGTTAGGGCTTGGGCTGGGGCTTAAGCTGGGGTTTCGGCTAAGGTTTACGTAGGGTTCAAGTTAGGTTAGGGTTTGAGTTAAGGTTTTGGGAAGGGTTTAGAAGAGGATAAAAGGTTTGGAGTCTAGGGTTTAGGGTTTCGACCCTAACCTAAATAAACCCTAACCTAAACTTTTTTGAAACCGGACTTGATGACTGCCAGCATTGCCTAAACTCGAACCTAAAGCCTAACCTAAACCCTAAGATAAGCCTTGGCCTAGAACCTAACCTTGGCCTAAACCCTAACCTAAACACTTAAGCCCTGACCTAAGTTTTCACCTAACCTGGATCCTAACCTAAACCCTAACCTAAACCCTAACTTAAACCCTACCTAAACCCTTACCCAGACCCTTGCCTAAACCATACCGGAAGCTTAATCGAATCTAACCCGCACCCTAACCTAAATGATACCCTAAGCTAAACCCTACCCTACCGAAAGCCAAGCCTAAACCTTGATCTAAACCTCGTCTTGATTCGCTGGTGTAATTTTGATTTTGTTGATGCTGCATTTTTGTTGACTAAGGCCCCTCCCAACCATGGAGGGGGGGTGGTGGTGACACCCCACAGGCTGAAGGCAGCGGAGAACGCGCTGCCTCAGAACTATCCAACACACAACCACTCATCTCCTATCATGAACCGCTCGGTCAGAATATGTTGCTCTTTGTTTCTCGCCGCCTGCACCGTGCCAACCACCCCGTACTTGGCCTCAACACAGGACATGACACTGTGCCATAAGACGGGTTTCTCGATGTGTTGCTGCTGTGTGCCTGCGACAGGGTCTGCCACAGATGGATGCCGCGCTGACCGGCCACTGCAAGCTGCTCCAGCTGTGTTGACCTGCGCATGCGCGGGCTGCATAAGCATGATGGATCCGTCAATGCCAACTGCCATGTGAGACTTCGCCGAGTGCGAAGCATGTCTGCAGAAGTTGCCGTGGCATTTCGGCCGCAAGCCTGGCAAGAGTCGCTTGGCGTTGCTGGGATGCGCTGGCCATAACTACTGCCATGGAAGAGTTCAGCGCCGGTGCGTTCGGAGGCAGGTCGGGGTCTCCGCTTCCTGCCTAATTTCGGATGTTGCTCGACTCACTTGACATCATCTTGGTGGCCAGGGCTCGGCGTCTCGTTGAACATCACAGCTCAGCTACAGCGGACTACTCGTGGAATATTTCCGTGCATAGCTCGCCTCCGAGATGGAGAAAGTCTTCACGCCACAGCTATCCGCCACCACCACTCGACCATTCGTCGAGATGCTGAAAATGCCCATGATCTGATGCCAGAACAATGCCTTGCAAGTTTTACAGTGGATTTTTTTCAGCATGAGCTTGGATTGTGTGGAAAATTGAAAAGTAAACGGCCAACATGCGAACGCATTGCGACAACCGGACTGTCACAATGGTAATGCTCCAGGAGGAGAGGTTCTTGTGCTTGCAACACCGGCTCGCCGTTTGCAAGGCTCTTGATCCCCTGTCGTTCTTCCATGACCTCGGCGGCACATCAAGCGAAGTACTTATCTTGGCGACATGCCGTGCGTTGGCAAAGTCTTTCCTTGTTGGCTTCCAAAACGGAAAGAAACAAAAACTAGCGAGGCTGGATGCGGATAAAGGTAGTGGGCCACTGTCGCGGCTTGCACAACCACTTGGGCTGGCCACGACCGCTCAGACAAGTGGCCTCTTCCAAGGTCATTGTCTTGTCGCTTGACTCCGTGACGAAATCTTCCGGGAAGAAAGTCTTGAAGATGGCCACGCGCCCACTCTCAAATCCGGCTAGGACCTGATATTGTGGAGTGGTGCACCGTCGCAGGAGATCACACGAGGCTGGAACCACGTCGGAGGAACAAAACTCTGGTCAAAGCTTGTTTCTTGCATTGCCAGATGCCGTTTCCACTGCAAGGGCCCCATCGTCTAGAAGCCGCCGGCTCGGAAGGTACAATGCTGTCGCAACGTCTCCCATGCGACGGGATGCATCAAATCCCTGGATTTGGTGAAGCTGCTTCCGCTTGGACCCATGTGAACGGAAGAAGTAGTAGACAGCAAGCTGGCCATCCCCAATGCCTGCTACAACTCGAATTCAAGCGCATGCCCCTCCTGCTGTCTTCCGCTTATGAATCAAAGTCAAGCGGCCAGCAGCCACACGCGGCCGGAGAGCATCGACCACAAGAGTCGCAATTTCCACTCGCGTCCGGACTGGGCTGGGCTGCCGAGCTGCCTGCTCACGTGCTAGTGCCAGCTTCCTGGCCTGAGGGAGTGGCTTGCTGCCTCAGCTCCGACTGAAACGAAATGTCTAATAAGTCTACGTAAGCTTGCCTTTGCTCCAAGCTGCTGGTGGATTCGATGTCTGCCTCCTTTTGGACAGGCTTGGCTGGAGTGTTTGCGCGGCAACCGCGGCTCCGTGACATCCTCGGGAGGAGAAAACGGATGGAAAGGCCTGCAAGGCCGAACAGTTCAGCCGAGGGGCTCGAGAAGAGCTCGTGGGGTGTTCGGTGAGCTCTTCTTGGGCATCTGAGATTTCTCCGCGTCCTTTGGCTCCCTGATTTGGGTGTCAGGCAGCGGCACACGTGCTTCGTCACCTCAAGCAGATTCTTGCAACAGCCCGCGCATGCAGATACCGTCAAGCTCGGAAGGCCTTCTTCCTCTACAACTTTTCCGCGGCTCTTCGCAAAGGCGGCTTCTGCCTCCGCACTCAGCCGTTGCACCAGCCGCTGCTTCGACTCCATCTCCTGACGTTGACTCCCGGGCTAACGCGACTGTTGAAGGCATTGGGATATATAGTAGCACTGCCTCGAACATCCTCCGCGAGACGTTGTAATCCAATGGGTGTAGCACGGTGGTTCTCTGCCTGGGACATCAAACAGACTATCCCAAAATCTAGGCTCAGCCTGCAGACGTCATCTTTGCAGGTGTAGTGGCACTGTAGTGATAAAGCGCTCCCTCTCCAGGTCCAGGTGCGTGTCCTTTGAGTATGTCTCCGGTCATGCACAGCCCATCACAACAGAGCTTGCCGGCCCTCGTGTCCTGCATTTCTCGGTTCTCCCGCTCCTTCCGAATCGCATCATTCTGTCGATGTGCTTCCCTTCGGGTCGTTCGTGACCCATCATCACCTGACAGACGGGATTGCAATGGAAAACAACCTAGCAGTCTGAGTTTCGCATAAGAAAACTACGGAGGCTTTTTTTGTTTCACATGAGCACTTACCGAGCAAAGCGGCTGAGTGGAGACCCCAGACATCCCGTCACTCAGGTGCTACGCCGCTACGCTTGAATCCTCCCCGCACGGCTCCCTTGTAAGTCGGGCCAGAGTCGCTTCCAGAGGCCGTCCCAGCACGAGGTCGCTCCAGGCGCCTCAAGCCAGGTGCGGCCACCTGGCACCGAAGATCCACAAATCGCAAGACTGAGCTTGCTCTCAGCTCGCTGAAAGCTCGCAAAAGCCTTGGCTCCCTTTTTCGACTTCATGCCGGAGGATAGGGCCTCGCTTCTCGGCGTCAGAATGTTAGACTTCAACCCGGCCGATGAAAGTTACGGCAAGCTGCGCAAATCTGAGCAAGCTGCGCTGCTGTAGTTCGACATTCGTCTTATGTCTCCTTCGCTGCCACTGCCCATCTTCCAGACCTTCTGCAAAGGCATAGGAGCAGAACAAGTGCATGCGATGGCTTGAAACTGCGGGCCTGGGAGATACAGGAGTGGCCAACGGCTGCGCAGCTGCATGGCAAAGACTTCTCTGGAGATGAACTGCTGCAACCCAGATCCTGCGCAGAAGTGCCGGTTGCACTGCGTAGGGCGTAGGACTCAAAGCGACGCGTCCTCAACAGTGATAAAGCCATTGCTCCGCTCATCCAGCTCCGCGAAAAGCAGGAAGGGCTTCACGCCGGTCAGGGACTCGACATCATAACCAAGCTGCCTGCCGAGATCCGCCACTAGCCCCGAGATGACTAGCCTGACTACTTCACAGTGCCTGCGGCAGAGATTCTCAAGATCCAGCGCGGTGGCCTGAGCGTGCCTGGGCCGCTTCTTTGTGGGATCGCCATGGCAATGGAATGCCGACGAGACCTTTTGCGACCCTTGCAGGCGAGCGTCTCGGGACTCATTGCCTGGAAAGCATTGTCGGGCGTCCTTCGCTGCCACATTCGGGAAGAGGGCAGGCATCGAAGCAAAACACTGACCGTCATTGAGTCATGTCCCGTGACCGTATACACAGAAGATTTAGTGGAGGCTCTGGTAGATCTTGGCAAGGACGAAGATCAAGGCTCTCAGGCCATCCAGGCCCAGCTGCTTCAGCTCCTCTGTGTTTAACGCGGTGCTTTCCAACATTATTCAGGTACTCTCTGGAGTTGACGCGGCCTCAAGCAAGGCGTCGGGGGGAGTCTGCAAGGGCGGTAGGTCGTCCGCCGCAGGGCCTGCCTGAGAGCAACGTCAGGGCCCAGGGCACCCGTAGCAGCAGCAGACGTAGACGTAGCAGCCGCTGGCATCTGTAAGGCATTGATCAGCTGAGGGCCGCTCTCTCCGCGCTCTGTTGGTTGCAGCGGATGCTAAGCCCTGAGAAACAAAGATGGCGCAGGAACCCCTCAAACACCGTCAAATTCACTGGCCTCGTGTTTCGAGAAAACCTAAGCTGCGACTGGGATGCCGTCCGCACAGCACACGTTGAAAGAAATTCCAGGCTGAGGCTCAGAGCGGAAAGGCAGCAGCGCCACCTGCAACCAGCCCTCGGAGGGCGCCTTACGCACGAGTAAGTGTTTGAATTAAGGGTTCACTCGCGAGAAGTCGTCGAATCAGCTCCAAGCTACCTGGTCAGCTTGTCGCAGCCCTTCTCGCGCCGAAACCGACGGAACCCAGGTCAGGTTGAAGCCATCATGTGCTGCCGTCAATACAAAGAAGCGGCCGCCCTCGGTGCGAACATCCGCTTCGTTCAGAGCGACGGCGACGCAGTGCTCAATACCTCGGAGATGCCGAATATCCGCGGGGAGGAAAAAATGAGCTACGAGCAGCTGCTTTAGGCTTAAGGCAACACAGTCCGAATGCTCTGCGAATGCTCTCCGTGCGGACTCTTCGTCCCGCGTTGATTTTCCAGGGTGCGAGTCGACGGCGAGACGCCCTTGCCAAAGCCAGCAATCCTTGATGTGACCAGGCCTGCAGGCCACTGCAAGCCAGTCTGATTCAATTGCTCAACAAAAAATCCTATCCCCTCGCTTGGGCTGAGTCTTAAAGCTTCGGCTCAATTGCCGGTCCGTCCTGGCCGATTCACACACCTTCACATTTACACCAATTCACCCGCATGCTGCACCTACATTTGTCCTGGCACTGGGATTCTGATCTGGCTAGGAATGTCGAAGGCCATCTCAAGGCCTGCACCCATAGGCCCGGCCACAAGGCCACGAAGTCCAGTGCTGCGCAAAATTCGCGCCACTATCCTGGCCGTAGAGGCCGCAAACAGCAGGCAGATGCCCACGGCTAAACACGCGAAAAGTTGGGAGCCCAAGCATAGGCAGGGCGCCGACAGTCAGTGACACATTCCTCCAAGGCTGCAGGCTCTTCCTCGCCACTATCATCAGAAATATCGTTGGAGTCGTTCGCTGCCTAAGGAACCAGCTGCAGGCCGTGCTCTCGTGAAGAAGTTCGTGAGACCCCTTCATCTCATGCGCTCATGACGAGATCGCGGGGGCCCCCAAACAAATGCCATCCTCGAGACGATGCGAAGAACACCCACCAAAAACTCGACCCCAAGCGTGGACCGTCCAGCCGGCAGAACCCGGGATCCAGCACTGCAAGCGCAGCGGGACTCGTGGGCATGAGAATTTAAGTCAGATGCAAGAGTGGGGCACGGCGTTTGAGTCTAAAACTTTTGCGGCTTCCGAAAGCAACCTCAGACCCAGTTCCGCGATTGTTGCAGGAGTGAAACCCACAACAAGGCGATGTACAGCAGAATATAGTTGCACACATTGCGCGCAAGACGGTGTCGCTGCTCAAGGACCCGAGGCGACGAGAAACTGACGACTCGTGACGAACCTCCAGACGCTGGCCGCAGTCTTCGAAGCTGCCCCGTTTCTTTAGGTTGGAGAGGGAGAGGGAGAGGGAAGGCTTTCACCCAAGATCGGAGATCCAAGTGTCGGCTGCGACGAAGCGCCGTGCTGAATGAGGCTTTCGATGCACCACCGGCCAATCAGCACTGCTCCGGATAGCCCTGGTCGCAGCGCAAGTCTGTGCTGCTATGCTTCTCAACAGCTTGCAAGACCTCACGCATGCGAAAGTGCACAAAACCTTGCGGCACATGACGGCCGTAGGTCTGCCTGGCACTAAGAGGTACTCTGCGGGGCGATGCCCAGCGACGGGCCATCGTCAAGGCATTCCTTGCCCTTTGCGCTGCGCCATGGAGGCTCGGCGGCGCGGCTCGCGGCGGCTCCAAAGAGCTCTACTCTTCTGCTCTTCTGCCGTGCTGAGCGGCCTTGAGCCAAGGCAACACGCCGGAAAAGGATAGTCTCTGTCGCATTCGAGCAAGCACGACATTGCAAATCTCTTCAGCTTTTGATTCCACTTTGCGCATTCTGCAGCAGTCAGCCCGACAGGCATGATGCCACCTCTCGAATGACAGAGACCAGGGATGGAGCATTCACGAAAAGCACTCTCTCGACATTCAGCTCATACTGCTACTAGTAAGGCACATAGCTGCGCGATTGCTCATCGAAGTCCACGCGGAGCACGCCCCTGTCGAACTGCGAAGCCTCCTCGGCTCAGCTCACATGCCTCCACTATTGTCCCAGTCCGTACCAGAGTTCCGGCCGGTTAGCGCCTCGCCTTGACCGCGGCCACATATATACGAGCCAATGCCGCGAGCTCAGCCTCCTCGCGGTCAGAAGGCCATGACGTGACACAAACTCTTCTGTCCAGTGTGTCCTCCACTTCTCTCTCAACCGCCTGACCGCGTGACCGCAAAACTCTCAGAGAAATACCCCGGTGGCTGCATCCAAGCCTCTTCCATCCGCTTCTGCAGCTCGTGCACTTGAAGATCGCGTATTGCCTGCGCAGACCGTGCCATTCAAGACTTTGCCCGTTCATGCAAGACGAGCATTCCAGCGCACTGGAGGTCTTTGCGATAGACTGCTAGCCTGCAATGGCTTGCAAAACCTTCGGCATTCCTCGGCCGGCAGCCTTTTGGCCCCATCTTAATCTTAGAAAATTCACGTGGTCACTTTGGTTGCTCCAACACAGTTTTGCAAGATCCCACACCACGACTTTTACTTGGACGCTAGCGGCTCGCAGTGCCGGAATCCAGGAATTAGGAGAGGTTTGGGCTACTTTAAGGTTTTGGGGTCTCGACTCATGTTTAGGGTTTTATGCCCTGGAACGAGCCAGATGACGTCCATGGTTAGGGCTTGTCCATCTGAAGGCTTGCAAAATCTGAACATTGAGGATGGTTTCTCTTTTTGGAGGGAGGTCGTGTCTAGGAACCTTTTTGTTAATTTTTGGGATGCGCTAACCTACAACTTAAAGCTTCATAATACTTCCTAGCAGGCGACAACACAGGCAGAATGCCAGCAACATGCGTATGTCTCAATGAATTGGCTCGGCGATGCTTGGTGTCTGCCAGAGCAGAACTGCTTAAGACTCCTGTCCAACCTGTATGAGCAAACGCGCCTGCTTGAGCACAGGGTGGAATTCACCAGTCAATACTTCTTGCTTGGTGTGCCACCGAAGGTCTGCATATTCCTGTCTTGTCACGGCTGGCGGCTGGTATTGAATTCTGCTTGCGAGGCCTCCTCATCAATCTTCAGCTGTCTCTCCTTCAAAAAGGTCTCGTCCAGTAAACGACTCCAGCACTAGCTATCCGATCCTCCTCCGGATGCAAGACCATGCAGTGCACGCTGGAGATGTCCTGAAACCAACGCACTTCTGAAAATAACACCTCTGATTCCTTCTGATGGTTAAGAAAGTGCACATGCTTCAGCAAGGTCTGCTGGTGCTGGACAAGATCATGTCATGTCATGTCGTGGGATACTTGGGCATTGGCAGCTGTGCCGTGGTCTGCAGGAGCCTCAGTATCGACGAAAACAACGTAGACCGACGGACCCAAGAAAGTCCACAGACTGGCTGTGCCTGAGCACGCATGGCCCATGTCAGGGAGTAGCAGCCGATAACCTGTCGCCATGCTGGGGCTTTTTCAACTACGCACGCTTGCCTGACAGTCTCACGACCGGAAAGAAAGTCGAAAACAAGAGCCACCAATGAAGTGAACGGACTCCGGAGCACCCACCTCTACAAGTCACGCAAACCCGACTAGTAAGTATCACTGGCGTGCTTGTAACATTACAAGGCACGTTGTAGCATGCCCAGAAAACCTTGCTTTGTCATGTCCCTGCAGTTTGACATTGACAAGCCTGGACAAGCGCTTCTAGGCACTTTTTCTCTCACGGCACAAGGCGCCGAGCGGTTCTCCTCCGGTCATTTGATCAGTTTTCGGATGATCCCCTTTACTTTCGGCACGGGCCGCTTCTTGTACGGATTCCGTGGATATGGGGCTGCGCCACGCTTCATTTTGACATCCAGCCGGACGCTGAACTCACGGGGCCGGAGGAAATCGCACCAATGCGAAAGCACCTCAGTAGCCTGCTTGTTGGAGGTTGCGGTCTTTGCACCATTCCCGTTGTCTGGAGACTCGTCGGGCTCAGGAGCAAGCACGGGCAACGAAGGCAGGGGAATGGTCATCCTCCGCATGACATCCGAGAGAGGTACCCAGTAAGATCCTAGGAATGCAGAGGCAGGCGATCGCCACATGGGCACAGCCCTGGCGCGCAGCAGAGTTATCCAAGAGCCAAGGCAACCAAGAGCCACTGCCATGGCCAAGCCGCCCCACTCTCACACCTGGCTCTTGGGGCCCATTCTGGATATCTCTTGAGCCAAACTTCAGTGCACTCGTCCGCGCCCAGTTAAGGGAGCCCTCAGCAATGTCGGCCGGTGGGCTGCCAACGGCCTTCAGGCGCGATGAGGGAACTTCCAAACCCAACTCTCGTCGGAGATTCCGTGAAGCTGCCTGGCACGCACACACTTGAGATGCCGGAAAGAGGGAGGGCGGGGCAGGGGTGCGTTTCTCAAGATGCCACGAGGTGGAGATGTGGCTTCCTCAATGAACGTGCCTTGTGAAGCTGCGTTGCCCTTCTTGATCGCCTATATATGGAGTGCTACTTTACTTCTGGTGGCCTGCTGCGGCGTCTCCCCTGGCTTGGCACGGCCACCAATGAACCACCTGGGTGAAATCTGGATTCTGGATGCCACAAGTTCGAGCAAACCGAACAACAAAGATCTCAGAGAAGCACCAGTCTGGCTGCGGATGCACCTTGCAGGCACCCCTGCGTCCATGAGCGTACACCAGCAAAGCAGGCCTGGTGCGCCTTGCGCTTGCCCAGGAAAACATGAGAACCGTCCGGTGAAGTGACGAGAATGTCCGACCTATTGCTGCTCTGACATTCTGCTGCTACGCGTAACACCGCAAACTTGTTGGTCAAGGGCTTCAGTTCCTCGTCCTAACATTGCCAAACCATGCCAACGTTCAACTCCGGCGGGGGTCCGATTCTGTCGTCTTGCAGGCAAAACAAGCAGATCTTTGCAGGAAGGTATTCCAAGGGCAGCCGAGTTCTTCGATTCAACACGATGGCCCAAGTGCTGCAGGCAGGGAGGAGTGCGAGGCAACAACAAGCAAGGAACATGCTGCCACAAATGCTGACACAACGTGACAGAAAAGCTACACAAGCGTCGCTGAGACTCCGTGCACCGCTTTCACCAGGGCATCTAGTGCGCGGCCGTACTCTGCATCCTGGCGGCTCTCTCTAGGAGGAAGAATCTTATGCAAGACCTAGCATGACTAAGCCACCACTCCTCCAGAAACAAGTGATGTGGCTTGAAGTTCCCGGTCGCGAAGCATGGGACATGCATCCTATGGGATTATTTTCATGCATGTTCATACATCGACTCCATGCTCTTGCTAAAGGGGTGCGCATGAACTTTGGCCATGGTCTGAGTATAAAATGACATTTCTTTGGGCTTCTACAGTTCTGCACCACAGGCACCAAGCGCACTTCGGCACGCGCCTGTCCAAAGAAACCCTGACAACTTAACATATGCATCTAATGCGTATACATGTGTACATTTGTGTGTGTGAACATACAGTACCTTTGCAGTATCTCCCATGCTTAACACAGATTTTGGACTCATTCGATGGCCGTGAGTCAGCTAGTCGGCGGGGCCAGTGTGCTGCGGCACGCGGCAGGCAAACAGATCGCACACATGCACTGTGCAGCTGTTTGCAGCCTGGCCCAAGGACAGAAGCGCGGCCTCATCGTCTGAGGCCAGTGCTTGCGCCGGTGCGGCCTGATCTGTTGGGCAGCCTCATCGGTGACTCCTCCGAGGCAGTTCAAGCAGAAACTGGGCACCTGTCACTTGTTCACTTCACTATCACGGCATGAGGTGCTGGCCCCGCGCTGCGGCGATTCTCCGCGTTGCCTCGGCTGAACCCGACGTCGAAGCTTTGGTCAAGCTGCAATCAGAGTCAACGGACTCAGGAAGCAGGCGGGTACCGATCTGCTGGGGATGTTTTTGGTGACGGCCTCGGATTGCGCCATGCTGCCAGACCGGATCAAGGAAGATGCTTTTCATGTGCGCAAACTCCGTTTGAGCAGGGCAACTCTCGCGAGCCAGGCCGGCCTGAGCTCAGAAACTGACGTCAATGCTCTCGCAACGCTTACCGGCATGACATGGCATGACCGCTCTGCTGCCACTTGAGGGCCAGGGGCATGGAGAACGAAAGCTCGGTCTTTTTTACAGAAGGACTACACACATGCAAACGCAGAGAGACATGGCTGCGCTGCACAAACACTTTACAAACAAGTACTGACATATCAATTTA